TGTCCCTTCTTTTTGACTGAGTTGACAGTAAGACTGTAAGCATATTCCTCATCAGAGGATTCATCTGATTTATTTTCAGCAGTAGCATTGACCTTCGAGTCAGCAGGTTTGCTTCGACAAACCTTGGCAAAGGGTCCTGTCTTGCGACAGTTTCGACAGCTTACATGAATTGCAGGGCATGATCGTCCTTGGTGAGGGAAGTCACCACCACACCTACAACATTTCTTCTTCTCGGATGTTGACTGACTATCCATGTTGCGTGCGTTTGATGCTGGTGATGATTTTTCCTTAATTTTGCAAACTTTATCCTGTTCCTCAATTCCTTTTGCTTGCTTCTCAGCCATTTCTAGTCCTCTAGAATAATCAAGAATAACTTTAAGATTCATATTTTCACGTAAAGCTCAACGACGTAACCTGGACGATGAGCATGAGAGTATGATGTGAGATTTTATCTCTTCTTCCTCATCAGTAAATTTGCATGACTGTGCTAGCCTGTGTAGCCTTGTATGATATGATTCTAGTGACTCACCAGGATCTTGGGTAGCACTGCAAAACTTGTAAATTTCAAACGTTTTGTTCACTTGTGGTTAGAAATATGTATTTAATGCATCTACAGCAGCTTTGTAATCTTTTTCTTCACCTTGATCGGGTTATGTTTCAAAAATATTGGACACTTCTTCTCCAGCAGAATACAATAGTAAAGCATACAATAGTGTGTGTTGGAATACAATAACAATACAATACCAAGAATACAATAGTGTGTGTTGGATCTTTCACATCGTGTGCCGCCAGATACATTTCGAATCGCTTGAACCATTTTTTCTAGCGAGGGCCAACAGAAGAAGTATCCTCATACACAGAGAACAAGGAAAACGGAGGTGAAATATTACTAGCCATGACAGAGAACAGTAATATAAGTGAGGAATAAACGTAGATTTGTAGATGGAGATGTAAATTGAAGACTTACGAACGCCCGTGTACGTGAGTAAGAGGTAGTCAACGAGACAAAATCGCCAAGTTGACATGTAAAAACACCACCTAAATCTCCAAAACCTTGTGCAAAGTAGCAAGAGTGGAATATTCTTGTATCCTCATCGCGAAATGTGGAATATGACGCAGTTCGCTATGTAGAAATGGAGCTCTTTTATTAAACTCTAGAATACAATCCTCAGTCCGACCTCGTGCTGCCACACTGCACATGTCCATGTTACGTCACAACACTACAGTTACATTGTTCACTTTTGAAATTTGTTTTCGTTACCTGTCAGTTATATCATTCCTTAATGTTGCACCTCCTTAACTTCAAAGAAAAAAACTTGAATATACATATACCTTTCAGAAAATACTCCTGGTTGCATAATGCCCTAAGAAATGAGACAAGCTCGGGCAGGATTAGCCTGTCGACTTACTTTTAGACCTGAGTCTTGAGAACAAAGTTGATTAACAAAAATTTACAAATTATATCTTTTTCTTTCCTCCTGTTTTACAATAGGCTTCTCAGCAGTAAAATAATATGGCACAAGATAAATTAAATGTAACCTTGGCTACTGGTGTTGTGGGGTGGAACACAACAGTGAATGGCCAGTTAGTTATTGAACTTGCTAAAAATCCAAAAGTGAAGGTGACAGGACTTGTGCCAAGCAGCACCCAGGAACAGAAAGAACAGGCCAAAAAGTTAAATGTTGACCTTGTGGATGCCAAAGAGCGAGCTGGATTTTCAGCAGAAGAACGGCTGTCTTTCCCTCCAGAAAATCTTGAAATTGACATTTTGATTATTCACTCATATGGGCTTCATGAAGGTAAACATGCACAGAACATCAAAGATGCTAAGAAATGTAAATGGCTTCACATCATTCATACCAACAGTGAAGAACTGGCTAAATTTATGGACATTCCCATGAAAGATGAACAGAAGAAGGAGTATGAACTGCAACTTACATTGTGTAACATGGCAGATGCTGTGATTGCAGTTGGCCCCAAAGTAGCTGATGCCTTCAGATCTGCACTGCGTTATGGTGGAAAGAGCAAGGATGTCATTAATTTAACTCCAGGCATCATCTATGAAATGCGAGATATTCGGCTACACCACCAACCTGAGGAAATCTTCCGCATCTTGATCAGTGCAACATATTTTGCCAAGTATTACAAAGTAAAAGGGCTTGACATTGCCGCTAAAGCAATCTCACTCTTGCAAGAGGTAGATTGCTATCTGATATTTCTTGTCACCCCAAATGAGGACACAGAAGTCCTCAGTAAGCGACTCCATGAGGAAGGGATTGACCTGAACCAGTTTGCTGTTCGACATTTTCAAAATAGCCTGGAGAACTGGAAGCAGCTTCTGTGTGAAGTGAATCTTATCATTATGCCTTCACGAACGGAGGGTTTTGGGACAAGCAGCCTCCGTGCTATTTCTGCAGACCTTCCAGTTCTTGTCAGCCAGAATTGTGGTCTTGGAATGGCTCTGAAGAAATTACCCTCGGGAGGAAAACATGTAGTTAAATCGAATGATCCCAAAGTATGGTCAGAAAGGATAAAGGGAGTCCTAGAAAATAACCCAGAAGATCAGTTGTCAGAATCAAAGCAGCTTCGCCAAGAGTATGAGGAAAAATACAGCTGGGAGAAGCAATGCGATGATCTTGTTGAAAGTATGCTTACAATGTTTCCAAGCAAACAAGGTGTGTTTGATTTATCATAAATTTTCATAGAGTGCCTTTCCAGGTTAAGAGCAGGTTTTAATTGAGGGCCTTATAATGTTGGTGATGGTTCACGAATTACCTGAATTTGCCCTTAATCCAGGTTTTTTTTCGGGAGAGTTAGTATCACAAATTTTTTGCTATATTGTACATGTACAAGAGGCAATTTCAATGGCCTACAAATACCTTTATGTAGTTGTAACGTACAACAAATTAAATACAAGTTAGAGTATTACAAACAATTAATACAAGTATTTTGAAAAAGGGAAAAATAATTAAGAACTCTGCCCTTTTTGCTTTTAACTCAAACTGCCTTTCACCAGCACTGTGCTGAAATCATTTATCACCAATGTTGTCCCTTTATTGGGAGACACAGTGGCCCAATGTCTAGTGCACTGGATTTGGGTTGGAGAGGTCTGGGTTTGAGACCTGGCAGGGTCAATGTGAACTGTGCTCTTGGAAAAGACACTTTACGCTTGTCTCTCACCAGGAGTAGGAATGAGTACCAGCAAATTGTCAGGGAAGCCTGATGAAATGCAAAGGGTAACCTTACAATTGACTGGCATTTTATCCAGGGGGTGGTGGTACTGTAATACCCCTTGTTGCTTCACACTTCATATTTGTATGTTTACTACATGTAGGTACAATGTATTTTGAATGTACAGCTGTACTCTGAGCTGTGCAAACCTGACTGATACTCAAGTGTGGACAAGGGGGCATTAGGGTCCATAAGAAACAGCAAAATCATGGCAAAAAGTCATCCAAAACTGCAACAACAAAAAAACTCAAACAAAACTGAAAACTGAGTGCAAAACCAATAAATTTGCACATCCTAGTTATCAAAATTCTAATAGATCTGATACAGTCAGTATGGTAATGAGGGGAGCATACAAAAGTTTTGTGGCCATTTGAGATCAGTGGAGGTGCATAACTGCAGCTCAGATTGAAGAGAAACCAAAAACCAAATTGGTAAAAACTGAAAAACCACATGGGATACTAAATCCAAAGACATGTTAACAATTCTGACAAAAATCGAAAACCATAATTATGCTAAAAAATGGAAAATCCACAAATTCTAATAAACATTAAAACTGAAAAACCAATCCAAAAATAGCCAAAACCACAAAACAGAAAATTCCAATGCCCCCCCC